ATAGCAATCCCATCCCAAGTTTGAACGAAACTCATCTGCCACAATAATACTAATTTGCGCATTGCGTAAAATAAAAACAAGTCTCTTTATATATGTTACTATTGTTTGTGTGTTTTTGTGACTATGATAAATATAGTTGTCTACTGTGGGCATTAGATGCATTGACATTCAGATTCATATATGTTACTATTGTTTGTGTGTTTTTGTGACTATGATAAATATAGTTGTCTACTGTGGGCATTAGATGCATTGACATTCAGATTTATATATGTTACTATTGTTTGTGTGTTTTTGTGACTATGATAAATATAGTTGTCTACTGTGGGCATTAGATGCATTGACATTCAGATTTCGTTGTTTGAAAGTGTTGGCGACTTGATTTTTTGATATAATGATTTGATAATGAGTTTTTGATATATAATTGGCGACCATTTCCTTCGAAAAACACCAAGATACAACATTTGTTAAGAGCGTTTAGCAGCGTTCTTGGGCCAATCCACTCAACCATGATACCGATGTTACAAATATTAGGTTAGTGGAACATATCATTTTGTTTTCCAGTGTTATTTTAATTTTTCAAGTGTCCTAACAAATTTCGATTTCATCAAATTAGTTTAGTTTAGTACAAAAGCAAAACAGAATTGTTTTGTATATTCACGTCAATTGTTTTAACCGTTGATGAAAGTGAATCAACTTGTCGATTGTCCTTGCCCATTTTGTCTGTATACGTGGCCAATTTTGTTTAAATTTGGTGCAAATGCAGGACACATAACGTTTTTAATGTATGCCAAATTTGTTTTACTTTCTCTCTCCTATAATGTGTCCTAAAATATATCCAGCCAATGACTTATTTCCAAGAGGCAGTGTGTATGAACAAGACATACCATGGCAATATATCACTTTGTGATCCACACGCAAATATTGGGTTTATTGTGTATATGCTACTAATATGTGCATTAACTACTAATACCAATACTACTAAACAGCTCATATTAAACATCAACTCTGCGGATTATTTATAAATAAATAAATAATGGATCTTTAATAACTTTATTATATTTACCATTATTAACTTACCAAATGCTACAACAATAAATACGAAATACAATTGAACATGTAAGAAATTGAAAATCATGTATGTGTCTAGTCAATTTAAATAGTAAACTGTTTGATCAAAGATCTTGGAATTCATAAAAATGAAACCGATGCAACTACAGTAGTATTGCCAATATTAGAAAGGTTGTCAGTCCGTCATTTCAAAACCTGATGGTTTTCTCTAAAAAAGTCACAAACATTGAATGAAACAAATTGAAATGCAAGTATACCCTTGCCTTGGTAAGAACAAATTCTGGTTGTCTTGTGAAACCTATAATAGTAACTCATATTTAAGAAAACATATAGACAAATATTTATAAACGAATAAAAATGACAATATACTGTTCATACTTCTATTATATCAAAAATGAAGGTTACTAAAATAGTCTTTTAAGTTTGTTCAAAACTATCAAAATCAATAAATAATGATTTGCACACATTATGAAATACAATTTATAAGTAAATATGTTAAAAATAATATTTAAAAAAAATGTCACACATTCCTGATTTTACATGAGCAGGGCGAGTGTCTGGGTTGAGTGCATATGTCTCATGTCTCCAGATTCAGACATACTGATGTGAATAACTTGTTTACTGTTTTATATTTACAAGATCGTCAACAGTATATAATATAATATGATGAAGAGAACCGTTATACATAAGCCGGATACAACGACTTTTTTTGAAATGGTAAATTATCATCACAGGTGTCATATAGAATAGAATATAATAGAATAGAATAGAATAGAATAGAATAGAATAGAATAGAATAGAATATGATTACTTGCCTAATTTGACCAAACCTTTTTATAAATACCTATAATCTTGCTATTAGTATAGAGTTGTATACTTGTGGTCGTCCTCTTGGTTGTCTCTTGTTGTAAAACAGACAACACGACTCAAAGAACTTGCACCAGAGATAAAGATGGCATATTTACATTATAATTGAAAATTAAATATCCCCGTTGCAGATGTATTGACAAATATCCACTCCAAATGACAGGTTAGGTACACATTATAAGTATATTGTACTGACAATTGTTTTCAAATTGAACCATATTCAGTAACACATAACTAAGTAGAAGTTCAATGGCATCTATTAACAAACCTGGACCAGTGTAATGTACCGGGGTATATAATCGTGTTGTTGTTATCTCATTAGATTTCAATGTAATTTCAGTCGGTGACGGGAGTTGATTGTTGAGTTCACACCTCTGTTACCTTTATTGCAGCTTGATATGCGTAATATTTTATGCTTATTGTTTCGACCAAGTAAATTTGTAATATGTCATAATTATGAAAATGTGTAAATGTGTCGCTTTCAACTACTTTTGTTATCTAATCTAACACCGCCAGTCACGGACTTGTCCTCGTCATGACCTGACGCGTTCACCCATTTCAACAGAATATCAATTCATTTCCACGAACTGTGATTTCTCGTTTTTTATATAAATTATTTCTCTATTTTATCGATCACTATAGTTTAAATGTTTAAAATATCAAAATCAGTTCTCTTTTTATTTTAATTTTGAATGTTTTTTTTTACTCAGACGATCGATGACATGAAACAGTGTAGTGAAATTCCTAGTAACCGGCTAAATATCGAAATAATTCGGGCGTCAAATTCGATTTTAACAAACTCGATGATCGACATAGGCGTAGAGTTCCGTGGAAAAGAAGTCAACACTTCGACTGCCTACCATATAAGTAATTGTGCAGTCCTGCATATAAGTAATTGTGCAGATGTGAAACGTGTATTCTTTAATTTTTAAAAGGAAAAAGGACGAATTCTTTGGTGTCTTAGAGCTCTGTTACAGACATTTTTATATTCTCGGTTTTATATTTAACTTGATTGGCTTACTTTGTGTTACGTTGTTAAGTTATTTCACATAACATCTTCAACTATTTTACCATTTTTAGAGAGGGGGTTGCTGAGCCATTCCCCACCCACAGACAAATACACGCACACCATAGATCTACTACTGCAAATTGTTGTACACAATAAGACAAGATGGGACTTATCTTAGCAATATTGTCTAAGCATTTCAAGGTAATGCCATATCGCTCGTATGGACACCCATCATGGGCGTCTTCAGAATTCCCATGGGTGACGCTTGTATTGAAATAATATCAAGCTTATTTTCACATTGCTATTAACAAGCATGGTTTCTAAAACAATATCCGTGTCGAAATGACCATTCCAACGAACAATACATTCTTGATACCTATACCAATAAGCCAATAATTTAATTAAGAAAGGCTTAACACCCCTGGTCAATAATCTTTCAAACAAAATATCATGGCGAACATAATCAAAAGCTTTAGAAGCATCCATAAAAGTAACAAAAACCGGAGTATTTCGATGCTTATAATGGTGTAAAACAAAAAAATTACATATCAATCAATCAAACTGGTTATTTATAATAGATAGACACTCAGAGCAAGGATTAAGCCATATTCTCTCTAACAATTTAGATGCAACTGTTGCCATAACAATTGAACGGTAATTTGATTTATCACAGATATCACCCCCGAATCTATGGGTAAAACAGTGGTCATAAGACGTATAGGAATAATTCCATGAACAAGTTTAGCAGTAAAACAAAGAGATAATAATACATAAAGTCTAGAGAGTGCAAACGTAAAATGTTCAGAAATGATACTGCCAATGCCGGGGGATACACCTAGTTTCAAATCTCCAACCAGATCACATATTTCATTTTGATGAACCACCATGTCTTCATCAAACTTATTAGTTGGAACGACTGGTGTAATGTCAATACCAGTTGTTACATCTGATGTCACCAGATGAAGCTGGATTTAACCAATGAAACTCAGATACACTTTAGTGCAAGTAAACAACTAGCCCGCCATTTTATTGACCCTTGACCCTATCTCAGGACTGCCACTAGATGGCGCTATAATTCATAACACATACAGCATATACAATTACCTGGATATGACCTCCCTTTCCCTCCCCTTTCAGAGTGATACTACATATCACCGTGGCAACAATCAACCTTTTAACAATGAACTCAGCAACATAATATTTTGTTTTAGGTTAACAATATTTTTCTCAACTAAATTACATAATCTGCACTCAAAAGTTCAACGGTAACTATAAACTACATATAACTCAAAAAAGTTCTCATTGTCACATTGTATAATTCATATTATACTGCATGTCCTATATATTCAGTTCATGATGAAATTATCAAATCTCTTTGGCTTAATTCTCTCCCTAGTGGGTCTACATGTGTTTTTATCATGGGGGTTTAACAGGTGATTTAGGCTCATTTGGTTCTACCAAAGAATCGTGGGACTCTACTGCTACTGCTACTATCAATGTGATATTTTTTATATGTGACGAATTACGATCATACTGGACACCCTTTGGTGACTCAACAGTAACCTTACTACCAGTCTTAGAAATAACATGATATGGTTCAGGGTGGAAAGGTGTGTCCAATTTATTTTTGCATTCGCTTTTAAGCAAAACTTTGTCACCTGGTATAATGTCCGATTCTATAGCATTACGTCTCTTGTCTGCATACATCTTTGCCATTCCTTTTTGTTCAGCATCCTTGTCACGGGTTTCCTGATCAACAAAGACTGTTGTCAACTCAGGCAATTTTGTGCGAATCATTCTGCTAAGAAGAAGCTCTGCTGGAGTCTTTCCAGTGGTGGAATGCGGTGTTGCTCTGTAAGCTGCAATGTATTCCAGCATAGCTCTCTTCCAATCCTTGCCCTCAGCCTGTGCAATTCTCATACGTTTTTCAAGCGACTGATTTTAGCGTCCCACCTCTCCATTTGCTTGTGCCCATTTAGGTGTCACCTTATGTTGGTATATACCCGTTTCAGTCATATAGTTCGCAAATGTTTCAGAAATGAACTGTGGACCGTTGTCACTGGAAGCCGTTTCTGGTAATCCATGTCTCGCTAATATTATACGCAACTCTGCAACTGTTCTTTTCTGCTGTGATTGATTTCATAACTACCAGCTCATAATATCGACTATAGTAGTCAATCACAACTAATACATATTCTCCAGATGGTAAAGGTCCGTGAAAATCAATTGCCAAATCTACCCATGGCGCTGTCAGAAGTCTAGTACTTCTTATCGGTTCTGGTGGATTTTGTCTACTGGTGATTTGGCATCCATGGCATGTTTTACAGTGTTTTTCGGCATCCTTCTCCATTCCAGGCCACCATACCCTTGACCTTAAATTTTTGTTGGTGCTTACAATACCCAAGTGTCCGACATGAGCAAATGACAATATATGTGGTCTCATTTTCGTTGGTATGACTAATCATGTACCTCTCATGATTAATTTACCTAAAGTGCAAAGTTCACCGCTAACTACTACATATTGCTTATTTGTGCATTTGTCCCATCTATTAGTCTCAATGCATTCATGTATTCCACTTAATTCGTCATCTTCAGCAGATGCTCTCTCTACTTCGCGTGTTGTTATTGCGCATGGTGTAGCATTTACTGCAACAAATCTAACGTATA